CTTATTAAAATCAGATTTAATTTGTAAAAAAAAAATATTTATAATGCGCAAGGTGTAATTTCAAATTTTGGCTTAATTCGGTATACATTTTAAAGAATTATTAGTTTTAAAATGTTTTATTTTAAATTATAAAACCTAATAGGAAAGAAGTTAATTTTTTTATTTATTATATTAAAAATAGTTTATTGTATTTTCGTGTAATAGCGTTATTTAGAAAGTCCTTGAAAATGGCATACGTAGTTTTAAATAATGCCCATGCGCGTCCCAAAGTAACACGAACCATATAACGAGCTGCTTCGTCACTCATTTTAATAATTAGATATGGTAGGCAGTGTAATACGCGTCACTCTGGGTTATATCGACACCTCAAAACAAAAATTGTCCGATATATCCATCGTTTTAACCAGAGGCATTTTCATATTAAATATATCATATTAAATATATATGTTAATTTTAAAAAATGTCGGTATACCCAGATGTCTATATAACTAGAGTGATGTGTAATATGCTGCTACAATAAGAAATGAATTAGAGTATTTCAAATACTCCGATTGATAAATAACTATTATACTTACCAGTTAAGGATTGGGTAAGAAGAGATTTAAGAAACGATATATCGATTAGCATGGGCGTTATTTTTGAAGATCAGGATTAGGTGAAAATATGGTATTAAATTTATTACAATGTAAGTTTTTATAGCCAAAAATTTTTATAAATTAATACATGTTATTTTGATTATATTGATATCTATATAATAACATCCGACTTTTTTTTTAAGTTTTTAAACCCATATATTATACTAATAAATTATAAAACTATTACTGTTGAACCTTTCAAAATCAATATTCACAAGTATTGAAAGGTTATCAGATTTGAAAACATTATATTGTTGAACTCCAAAAATCAGTTTTAGAAGGTTCAACAGTAAACTATTAGGTTTATATAGCAAAACGTATTTGGTAGGTTAATTTTTTTCAGATTTAAAAAGTTATCGATTTGAACAGGATCATTGAGATATTATTTCAAATAAGAGCCAAAAATGTATAATGCAGATAAATATTTTATTTGCTTAAATTATTTTAATAATATTATGTTTGTAATATTTAGTTGTCTATTTTTATTTTAGTTACTATATAGGTAAGGAGCCCGCAGTATACCGGTATAGCAATTAAATTCACCAAAATACAAGGACAACAATATCAATATATTTTAATCAAGAATTCATTTACATAGAAAATACTGTAGAACACATGGAGCAATTTAATAAATAATCTAAACTTATCCATGGTGTCTTTTCATATTTGTTTAGTGGCGTGTTACCACTATTCAGAAGATCTAACGACTTAGCTCTGTGTTTGATGTTAGAAAATAGATTATATGGATCTTTTCGATCTTTTCACTTTATATAATTAACGTAACAACCGCCAGAAATATCTTTCGCATAAAGACTAATTTTTGATTGTGATCTAAATAGCAGGACCGATTACTTATAATTCTGGTCAAATTTGCAGATCATTTGGCCAAATTCGGGGTCAAAAAATTCTGAACTTGACCAAACGATCTACAAATTTGACCAGAATTATAAATAATCGGTTCTGCTATTTAGATCACAATCAAAATTAGCCCTGATAATCTGTAAGAAAGTATTAACTTATGGAATGAAATACATAATGATTATCGTGACCATATTCCAAGCATTACTTCGATACTGAATTTCAATTTTGAATCTCAATCAACTCAGTTAAATCGACAATTAGGATTTTAGAAGCAATGTCTTAATGAAGGAGTAAATATTAATATGAAAATTTATTAGATATATTTTTATCCAATTTATCCTAATTAGCAATATAGACTAATTTAGATATTAAATAATTTACAAAAATTTTATAGTTTTATTAACCAATATTGCATCATATAATTAAATTTAGAGCAAAAATTCACGTAATAATTTTAACATAGGTTTTAACATAGGTTTATCATATTGTTAAGCTATGCATAATGTACTAATAGCAATGGTTCGATCTTATTATTCAAAAGAATTGGTTTACTATAAAAACAATTTAACGGGATTAAGAGATCCTGATACAAACGAGTTTTTACATTATTCGAATCAAGAACATCCACTATCAAATAGCCAAGAAAATTATTTGTCAGAAGTTGTTGAACAGACTGATACAACTCGTTCTCGTTAAAGTCATTGGGCGGAAAAAATAAATCTTCACTATAGCTTATATCGAGAGAATACTATATGTACTTCACTATATCGAGTTGAAGTTTACTAATTCTGTAATTCAAAATTCTTCACTATATCGAGGGCCCACTATAACGAGAGTGAGTTGTAATATCCTCACACTTTTAGAGATTACCGATCTTGCTAATTTATCATTTGAAACTGAGTTAATTGCATAATTAATAATGTAAAAAATTCAAGATTGCTTAAAAATATAAAAGTAAATTAGATTTATAATTAGATTAGTAAAAAGATTGACAATTCGATATATATATATAACATCAACATTCTAATGCAATATGTAAAGAATTTATAGAAAAATAATACTAATAATGTTAATATATAGTTTCTATTTAATATAATGCGTATTTTATAAGAATAATTTTAGCATATAGAATACAAAATTAATTTTTGATTTTTGCAATGATTCTTGTAATTTAATATATATGTTAAAATGTAATTTATAATACATATGTTATAAGTGGGAACGGAATTTAACGTTAAGTGGATTTGGAATTTCTTAACGTTAATAAAATTATAATTTTGGGGTATATAGAATTTATTCTGTATAAGCCTACACCCTGACCCTAAAACCCTAAGAAATTACAAATCCACTTAGATTCCGCTCACACTTACATAAAATCTCGAACCTAAAAATAGCATATGTGATTTAAAATAACGCCCATGCGCGTCCCGAAATAACGCGCACCCATTATTATGCATTTTGAAAAAAACCAGGTTCAAAAATAAGGATGTTAAAGAGTCCGTTCGGTCCGACCCAGCTCCGGTTCTTAACAATTTCGGGTCTACTTAGTAGTTTAAAATACGATATAGATGATTTGGAAAGCAAAATGCCAAAAGTATTCATGATTCAATTTTATTAAATTTTATCTGGACTAGTTTTAGACCGGCCAAAAAACTAGTCCTTTGTGGCTATTTAATATCCCTATTCGAAAATCAGCCTATATGTTCGAGATAACGCCCATGGGCGTACTCAAAATAGCGCGCAAATGCCCGATTTTAATTATTTACATTGCATTGTAGTGGTAGTCCTAATATAACGGTTATTTGACTTTCGGGGAATTTAAAGAGGTTTAAAATTCCGAATATTCATATCATAACAACGGTTAGCTATGTTATTAGCTTTAAAAAGGTACATTCATATAAGCAAGTATAATACTAGTATAATACTAGTATAATACATGCAATTACTGTATATGGTATTAAACTATGATTATGATACTATACACATTCTACATATGGGGGTGAGTCAACAGAAATCCAGCAAATCGGTAAATCACTAATTTTGAGAAAATCACATTTTTGTACCACACTTAGTAAACAATATCCGATCCTATCCGATATGATCCGATCAAATCAGTGATTTCGGAAGATCGACTCAATTTCGTGTAACATGCTGGGTCAACAGAAATCAAGCAAATTTATCTAATACTGTAATAGATTTGCTTGATTTCTGTTGACCCAGCATGTTACACAAAATTGAGTTAGTGCGTATAACACATGTATTACAGTATTAGCAATAGGGTTGGGGGCACGGAAAATCATCACGCGGGGCACGGCATAACACCCTAAATCATCACATGGTAATAATTAGTAAAATATCACAGTGTAATTAATGATTTCCATGTGATGATTAGCATCACTCCACGTGCCCCTGTGACAAATTGAAATCACACCCCCGTGCCCCCAACCCTAATTAGCAAGAACTTGAAACTTATCTATTTACTTTTCTGCTTTTTTCTGTAAATACAATACGTATCATAATTTTTTGACTTTCATATTTTTAAAACTGAGTAAACCTGGCCACTCGGCTTTTTTTTTTTTAAAAAAATAACCGAAATATAAAAATTTTACTTTGTTTCACTTTATATGCAAGAACTATTCTAACTACACTTGTTACTAGCATTTTCTTATTTGTAGACAGTATTACCGTATACTGTATGGAATTACTAATAGGATTTCTCTTAACTTATACTAGGTATATTATAATGTTTCGAATGTTTTGTATAAAATCCGAGTGTATTAAAACTTTTAATATTTAAAGATTTAATAAAAGATACTCTAAACATAAATTTAAAAAAAAAACTAATCGCGCCATATAATGTTCCCAGACAGCACTGTTGAGGAGGTTTAAAAAAAAATCTAATTGTAATCCTACTATTAAAACAATCAAATAAAAAGATTTATTTTTTTATATTGTTAGTTTCGAATTGTAATGGAGCTTTTACTTTCTTTGGCTTGGGTTGGGTTGGCTTAAAACAATAAAGGTCACGTTTGGATGGGTCTTGAACTTGCTGTCTTATTTCTTCGTGCAGGTACCTAGTGTTATGAATCAGAGCAAAAAATGGAATCGATTAGTTGAAAATTTTTTAAAAAAAGATGTGGTCTCTGCAGATCACGATGTCCTGTGAGAATCGGATTCTATAGATTTTAAGAATTCTACCGATTTCAAAGAAATATAAACATAACTGATCGAAAATATAAACTAACAGACAATCAAAATTTCAGAAATTTTCTCTGATGTGGCCACATCTTTTTGAAAAGCGCTTTAATTGATTAACCGATCAGTTGTTTAGTTGATCTAATTTATGAATATTAAAAAACTAATTAATGTAAAAGCAACTAGTCAATTATCGTTAATCGATTAATTGATTAGTTGGTTAATCGATTAATAGTTAAGTCAAAATTATTAATCGATTAGTTGTCAACTCAGCCAACTAAACGATGAATCGATTTTCGATTCATATCACTACAGGTACCATTGTCGCTCCAAACTGATCTCACGTGCAGGTATTACTTCTGGAAAGGCATTCTTCATACAGGGAATTGAATTAGCTTGTGCAATATTAATTTCTTTTGATGTACTATCATTAGATGTTCGAATCTCAACTTTTCCAACATTCTTACTAGAGAGTATGAAATGATGTTGTTTTAGAATTGATGGTATTGAAGTAAAAAATTGACTTAAAAATTTAGACCACTTATAGAAAATGATCTTTTTATTTCCACTTGAGTCATAAACAGTTTCCGCCTGATTATACCCATCTACTGTAGATTGATAAACCACATTTATTAAATCATTTAAATCATTCACTTCCAATTTTCGAAGTTTTAGTTTGAAGAGACCAAAAAATCCATCAGGGCTAAATTTCATGTGGCCTGCAACCATAAAAGAATAGATAATTTTATCGTGTAAACCATTCATCACCCGCCACATAAGATACTGAATCATGGCATTATTCTTATTTTGTTCTATGCAATTATCAGCATGTATAATAACATGCTTTTCTCCAAGACCATGGTTCATAAAGTAATTGTGAACTAAAGAGATCACTATGTTAGCTCCTTTTCCTACACTTTCATTTTCTGGAATTAAATAATTAATCTGCAAATATAACAACATTGATTAATATAAAAATTCTAGAGTGTCCAAACTTATGCAATTTCAGGGATTTTTCATTATTTAAACAATGAAAAATTCTGAAATCATATAAGTCCGGACACTATAAGAATTCTAATATACAAAATTCTGATAGTTTTATGATCCTGATACGTATATAACAAAAAAAATTCTATTAATATCAAAATCCTAAAATATTAAAAGGGTTAAAATTCTAACATCTAATAAAAGATAAAATATCATGGCAAAAAAATATTTACATAATCATATAAATGCCAGATAACAGTAATATATGGGGTTTACCCAACCCTATCAAACATAAATTTTTATATTATCTTTTCTAACACCTATTTATTTAAAAAATATTTAAATAGCAATAATGTTTAGCATTTTAGTAAATGGCTGAATGCCTTATAATTATCCTTTTTGCCTCCAATTCCATTTTAATAATAATAGCTACTTCTATTTTTGTCAATTTTAAAAACTCCACATTTATCCTTTTCGGTATCTATTCTATTTGATAACAGTGTTCAAAATTACAAGTCATGGTAAATGCTTTTACTAGCTAAATTTTGATATCAAATAAATAAATTAATGACCAAACAAGTAAATAAGCAACCATATAAATAAATGTCTTACGTTTGTCTTTTTTTTAACTCCAATTCTACTTTAATAAAAATGGACATCCTTTTCAGTACCTATTCTCAGATTTCTTATCATTAGGTTTTGACCATTCAGAACTTGATTTAACTTCTACAGGTGTCTTCATATTCTATTTTTGTTTCTTCTAAATAGCAGCCTGTTCTACCGATACCTCTTTTGCTGTTTTCTTTTTTTTCTTAACTTTATATCTAACACGATCCTCTTCTCTTTCTAACTCAGCCTCTCATATAACATCAGTATAGAAGCACAAATCATCTTTTTCATCTTCTAGAAATCATTTCTATTTGGTGAAATTGCTCGATTTAATCTATGTGCGTGGTATTCGCTCTGTCAATCAATAATTCTGTGAGATCCTTGTCGCTCTTTAAATAGTTCAATTTTATCTTTATTACCTACTATATCTTCATACATGTTAGAAGTGCTGTATAAGTGGCAAGTCTTTTTGTTTGTTGTTGAATAATGTCTTCTAATTGATAGTAAACGACATGCTAGTTAAGATCAATAGTACAAGCACACTAACATTGCGAAAATGATTTTACTTACCTGTAGCTATCATAAAAATTAAAGGTTACAAGTTACAGTAATATTTCTTTACTAGCGGGATTTTAATAATAAATAAAAGAAACAAACAAATAAATGCCTTACGTTTATTTTTAACTTCGATTTGATTTTGATCAAAATGGCCAGTTTTACCCTCTAAGTTTATATTAATCCCTACTTCATTTGATTACAGTGTCCAAGATTATGAATTGCAGTAATATTTTTCTTACTAGCAGAATTTTGAATTTTGATAATGAATTGATAAATAAATAAAAAAATAAAGTAGCAAAATAAGCAAACAAATAAGTAAGTTCTTATGCTTGCCTTTTTTTAACTTCAATCCATTTAATTATTTAATTGACATTTTAATTTTGCTGATTTTTGATAATCAATGAAACCTTATGCTCATCTTATTAACTTTTGGACATTATTTTAAAAAAATATGATGCCTGCAATTAGGAATTGGAATCGATTTAGTCGACTAAAAAATTTATATAGTAAACTACTATCTTAGTCGACTTGGTCGACTAAATATAATAATCGATTTCAATCCCTACCTGCAACCTTTTGCTACTACACCAATTTCAATTTTAGATCAATCATCAAGATCATAACCATTGAAATTATCCATATAGAGATACTTATTAACACACAATTACCTGCCGTGGAGTTCTTTCTTCGCACACACCAAATATCACTACTTTAAAAGGAGACTTAAAATATATCGTGCCTTCCTGTTGTGAGGAATAGGGAATTTGCACGCTTTCTGCAAAATCTCATAAAATATGGGTCTCAATATTAAGTGAATTCGGTGTACCAGGGTGAGAAAAACTAGTCAAACTTCTTAAAGCTAACTTCGACTTAATAATACATACCCTAAAAAATGATCAAATTAAAATATTAATTTTTAAATTGTGTAGATTAGTATAATACAAAATTATCCAAAATATAAAACTGATAATATTCACGCTCTAGTTGTGCCCAACTATAATGATCGTTCCACTCCTGTATTTTTCATTCAACTTCATCTTTGTGCTAATATCTTGCACCAAACCGCATGTCTTTATATAGCATACATAAGTCACTGTGCATAGTTAAGAACTTAATTCCTAGAAAATATGATTTCCAAATTCGAAGAAAACTCGAAAGACTAATCTTATAATCTTTATTATTTTCAATACAATCATAAAGTCTAAATAAAGAATGTTTACTTTTACATATAGGTAAATATATTATCTCTCTTGTATTATCTCGAAAGCTTCGTTCTAATATTAATTTAAAATTATTAATGCATTGTAAATAACAAAATAATCAAATTTCTTGCAGTATAGATGATATTAATAAAGAGATATGTGTTATTTTACTGATAATCACTTCACCAACAGCTTAGTTCACCGACAATTACAGCTGTTTTCATAAATTCTGGGACACCTAAAAATTTTTTTGTTTCTCAAAATCTCTTTGGTTTCGTCCTAAAGGTCACCTAACTTTCAGAATCACGTCATTGTCTTCGGAACTTTATTTCGAAGATAGCGATGTATTTTCCAAAGAGTTAGATGATCCATAGGATGAAACCGAAAAAATTTTGAAAAATGTGTAAATTTTTAGGTTCCCAGAATTTATGAAAACAGTTGTAATTCACAAACAAGTTCATTTCACTAACAATTAACTTACCGACAAGTTCATTTCACCGACAATTATTTCACTAACAGCTCATTTTACTGACAAGTATTTTTTGTAAACTACGCTAACCTTAGCTCTAATTCTAATCTAACACTAACGATAATAACTAGAATTACTTTGTTAGTGAAATGAGCTATCAGTGAAATAATTGTCGGTGAAATAAACTTGTCGGTAATTTAATTGTCAGTGAAATAAACTTGTTTGTGAATTACAGCTGTTTTTATAAATTTTGGAACGCCTAAAAATTTTCTCGTTTTCTGAAATCTTTTCGGTTTCGTCTTATGAATCATCTAACTCTTCGGAAAATACATTGCTATCTTCGAAACGAAGTTCCAAAGACAATGACATGATTTCAAGAGCTAGGTGACCTTTAGGATGAAACCGAAGAGATTTCGAGAAATGAGAAAATTTTTAGGTGTCTTAGAATTTATGTTGTAATTGTCAGTGAACTAAGCTGTCGGTGAAATGATTGTTGGCGAAATGTGCACCATCTTTAATGAAGTATATTATTAATCAATTGATTTAAAATAGGTGTCACTCATACTGCAAGTGATCCAAACAATATTATTTGTTTATCTGGAGATGGTAAGCCTTGTTGATTGGCATAATTTCTAACGAACTTAAGCACATATAAAACCGTAGCAAATAGAATTGCAGAATTACTAACGTGCCTACTTAATTTATGTATTTTTGAAGCTAACCCATGTTGTTGATAATGCGCACGTAATGATTCCCATCTAGACTGCCCAATACCACATATAGTTAACCAAGCAGCTTGACATACTGACATTCCACTATAATTGTAATTGGTTGTTAAATATGTTTGTTGGATTCCATTATTTAACATTCCAAATCTAATACTAGCATCTATCATTCCCAAAAAACAAAAATTACTTTCTGATTGTGTCATTGCTTTTATTTCACGGTATCGTTTAAGGGCTTCTTGCGCATCAACTTTAATAATACAATGCTTTTGGCAACAAGTATTTTGTAATTTTTTTTAGATACGTGCCATCATCTTGTTTTTCTAACTTCATTGAGGATTTTTTTTCCTTCTTAAGAGAATCTTGCAGAGGTTTGAAGGTGCATATTTTCTTAAATTCATCAATTTGTCTCGCCGTGAAAATATTACTTACATCATCATCATCACCATCTTTACTCTTGTCTTTATCATCATCTTGATCATCTTGATCATCTTCAGACGTTATATTTTCATTCTTATAATTATTGTCGTCGTCGCTATCACTATCGCTATCATCCTTTAAATTAGTTGTTTGGTAAACTTCGTAAAGTTCATTTAGTTCATCATTCAAAGTTACTAATTCGCTATGTGTTTCAAGGAAAATACTATCAAATAAGAAAATTTTAATACTTGACATTGCTGTAATACTAACGATAAAAAAACAAATCAGATTATCATAGCTTATTTATACATACCATAAAACAGTAAAAATAATAGACGCCTTTTCATTATCTTAATCATTAACGCATTATTTTAAAAACGTACGTACGTACGTACGTACGCCTATCACTACATGCATAATTTCAAATAACATCTATAATAGATACAATTCATTCTATATTAGGGATGACTGCAACTAAAAAAAGATGACGGGAATATACGTGATATGGTTCAATTTCCTTCTTTTGCTCAATATAGAAAATGATAAAGAATTATAAAAATTAGTTGATTGTACGAACCTGCTTGTCTATGCCTGATACTCAAAAAACCTGAAAATACTTTCTCACCATTATGCTTACTTGAGCTTTATCAGCTTTAATTCCTGGAATTCCTAACTTTTTGGTATGTTTCAACATGTTCTTTCCTTTTATACTCAATGTTCCGGTCTTATTTGAACACGTTAGCCTTGTTAACATGCGGTTCTAGGGTCTTTGATAGTTCTACTTATTGTCTTTTCCTTTTTGTTAATTATCACACTATCTCTTATTTTCCCATCTCCTTTATCGATCTCACCATTCTCATTCTTCATACTAGATCCGTTTACTTTCCATTATTTTATATCAGGTAAAATACCATACAATCAACTCTCTGGAATTATTCATACTAGCGGATTAATATTTAAATTACAGCTTAACTTTAACGAAAATTATATACTTACGAACCAACGTCATCACACCAACTTTAGGTACCTAAATACCCCTTTATTTCTTTTTTTTTTTTTTTTTTGTTTTTTTGTGCTTTACTTAGGTCATGCAAAATTAGTTAATTGTTTCTCATAATCCGGCTGTCGGTTCTACAAATTTTTTTTAAAAAAAATTTATATAGTATGTAATATTTTTCTAGATAGAAAAATTGTAAAATTTTTACCAGAACTCATAGTACAGTCAGACCTCTCTAAGTGCATGCCCTTGGGACCGCACTTTAAGAATGTGCATATAGTGAATAATAAGAAAAGGTGCATTTATAGAAATATACACTTGGGTCAGCACTTGAGCGTGCACTTATAGAGGGTGTGGGCTGCACTTAGAAAGGTCTGAAAAAGTCTGACTGTATATTGATCTAAGTTTCTACGGGCCTTTACACAAGATAAAGTTTGAAATTCTTTATTAAACCTGCTTTTGACCGGTGCATGATTACTGTATCAGTATTTAAACTTTTATGTACGTACGTACGTACAGTACGATCACGATTATGTTACACGATTGTGAACATAACCCTGTGCTACAAATCTATGGGCATCGATCTAGAGAGAATGAATCTCAACTAAAACTTTAATTTACGGATGATAAATCCAAACACGCTACAAGAATCGATCAAATTTCAACATTAAACCCAGATCTACTGCTAAAGATTTGTATCTATTCAAATTAAAGCAGCAATAAAAATTTGTTTAAATTTTACATAATAAAGTCATTTTAAAC